CCATGCACTCTGTTGTGCTTAATAGTTGAAGAAGCACACAAAAGCTCTACCTCTACCCTACTGTTGCGGAGAACTAACGTCTTGATTCTAATCGTTCGATGGTCCCAGCAAGAGCCAACAGCTGCGAGCTTCATCACAACACACATTAGGTTCCTTATAGCGAAAACCACCTCTCGTCATCTACACCCAAAAACCTCTTCGTACTGCAACGTTGACTCCTGCGAATACGACCCCCCTCTAGCGTCGGCCAAATACGACCCCCCGTTGGACTTTGTCCAACGGACGGTTGACCCTGGTCCGAGGGGGAACTCAGTCCAGGTTTTCATCTTCGGACCATGCGCGAAATAGCACGGCCACTTGTCCATTCACCTATACCCATGGGTTAAGGGAACCGCCAAAAATACTTCAACAAAGAAACGCGCTCGTGGCCAAATATTCCCTTGAGAAGAAGTATGGAACCAGGGTAGGCCAGAATTAATTAATTGCGAGGATATAGCTTGGCACTGCTTACCTGTTTTCCTGGCTTTGAGCTTCTGAGTAAAAACGATCGACGTTGACCCTTCAGCAGAGCCCGTAATTACAATATTAATATCAACATTTTCATACTTAGTCTGAAAAAGAACATAAATAATAACTGAATGAGCCTATCACAAAACCAGTGTGAACCTTGGCAGGAGTAATGACGACAGTATTTACTGTGTTGCTCCGGAAAAACGGTGGAAGAATCACGAATGGTGTTCTGAAAAACAAATTACTGCAATACCCTACAATGAGCATCTTGAAAGGATAAAGAATAACGCATTTCAGATCCCGTTTTGGGATGCGCCTCGCATTTACTCCCATTTATATACAGGGGTGGCCAAAAAAAGAGACACTTCACTCCACGTTCAAAACGGCATTAGTCACACTTTGCTAAATTCAAACCGAATGCCCCAACTAATATTGAAGAGCACATTCCATCTATCAATAAACATCATAATAGCCTTCTGCACCGACGACATCAGAAGAATTTGCCATGGAAACTTGTGCACGGTTCGAGCTCAACGTGGTCCTCGACGGATCGTGGACCAATAAACCTTATCTGAAACTCTGGCTGGAAGGGGTTTTGCACAGCCAGAGCTACTGTCTCTAGAAAGCTATTCATAAAGTAACCGATTGAAGAAATTGTTTAGCTGCTTCAGGATGGAGCAATTACGGAATACCCCCCCCCCCGAGCCCGATGGTGATTGCAGATAACGTCATAGAGGTCGTGGGCAGCGAACACGGGCTTGCACGTGCACGTGGAGGGACATTTCGGGATTATTTTTCGTATAGGCTTCCATTAAATACGGAAATGTGAGCAGCTACTCCTTTACGCGTCTCCTGCAGCTAGCCGAATTCCTGAAGGCGCGAGGTTGGCTCCCCTTTGGTTTCACCACAAGATAACAGATGTTGGCACAAAGCCATCTGTATGGAAATATCTTCCCAGTGGGCCTTGAGCTCAAATGCTATTAGGGAAGAGAGTGTCTTCCCCAAACCATTTCTGCACACTACCCTTAGCTATGTGTTTGAAATATAGGAGGGCTTAAAAGCCACCCACGCGCGAATGACGACGGGAACAACACTCTAACAGTGAATTGAAATACTTACACTGATGACAAGGCTAAATCGAGCAAAGCGGGCACTATGAACCAGAATATGAGGTACATTCCATGGAAGGATCAAAGTCGTAAAGAAGAAGCTGAAATGTTTAATTAAGTCATAAGACGTCTCTGCAAACTAGAACTCCAACGTGAATTAATGTGGAATGGGTATGCGAGCTACATTCTTTTTAACCCATTCGCGACCGCGCGGGATTGCGCAATAGCAGCAGAGTCAGGAGATTTTTCTTCAATAAAATTTGAGTGGATGGAGATTTCCTCTGCCCAGGGCTGGCGTAGATGAATGAGGGTATGAAGATTCTTTTCAGGAAAGAAAAC